AAAAAAAAAAAAAAAAACCCAAAACATATCCACGACACAAGAGTTAAGGAATATCATAAGATCCCAAGTACATAAAAGTGCATAAACACATGTTTGTTTATATAAACAGAAGTTTTAAGAAACAATGCTTAGCTTTACTATGTATAATACACTGATATTTCTCATTCTACTTTTTTCTGTTCTTTCCATATATACATTTTTAAATTGAGACTGAGTCTCAACTTTATTACCCTCAGTAGAGTGCTGTTGCATCACAGCTCATAGCAACCTCAAACTCTTGGGCTCAAGCAATTCTCTTGCCTCAGCCTCCCTTGTAGCTGGGACTCCAGGCACCTGCCACAACACCTTGCTATTTTGTGTGTGTGTAGCAGGCCCAAGTGGGTTTGAACCCACCAGCCTCGGACCATGTGGCTGGTGCCCTAACCACTGAGATATGGGCACCCAGCCATCTTTCTATATTTTTAAAATACTGACTTATAATCCACTAAATTTTTACTGTCCACTATGGGACTGTAACTCCCAATTTGAAAAATGCCATTTGCAGGCCAAGTGCAGTGGCTCATACCTGTAATCCTAGCGCTCTGGTGAGCCAAGGCAGGTAGATTGCCTGAGCTCACAGGTTGGAGACCAGCCTGAGCCAGACTGAGACCCTGCCTCTAGAAATAGCCAGGTGTTGTGCTGGGTGCCTATAGTCCCAGCTATTCAGGAGGCTGAAGCAAGAGAATCACTTGAACCCAAGAGTTTGAGGTTGCTGTGAGCTATGACAGCACAGCACTCTACTGAGGGTGACAAGTGAGACTTTTTCTCAAAAAAAAAGAAGAAAAAGAAACCACCATTTTCCTAACACATGTCAAATACACGTTGAGCATTGCATTATGTGTTCAAGCACAGTGGTCATATGAGGCAGGTATTTAAGAAACTAATACTGAAAATATTAAATAATTTGCTCAGGATAACAGTAGGTAAATGGATAGGAATAAAGGTGCTTTTGGCTATAAAGCCCATGTTTTTTACATTTTACCAGATCACCTTAGTATGATCAGGCTAAACTGCAAAGAATCCTAACAGCTGATATATGCGTGTTCAGATGCTTCCTATGTGTCAAGCACTGTTCTAATTAATTTATATCAACTGAGTCATTTAATCTACAAAAGAATTCTGTAAAGGGGTGGCACCTGTGGCTCAAAGGGGGTAGGGCACTGGCAGGTTCAAACCCAGCCCCAGCCAAAAACTGGAAAAAAAAAAATCTGTAAAGTAGGTATTCATTTTTTCAAAGAAACAGAAACATAGGTGAGTTAAGAAACTTGCCCAAAATCACCCATAAAATATCTTTCCTCTAATATATATTTTTTTAGGCTAGGCGCAGTGGCTCACGTCCTTAATCCCAGCACTCTAAGAGGCTGAGACGGGCGGATCACTTGAGCTCAGGATTGAGACCAGCCTGAACAAGAGTGAGACCCTGCCTATAAAAATAGCCAGGCACTGTGTTTGGTGCCTGTACTCCCAGTGATGTGAGAGGCTCAGGCAAGAGTATCGCTGGAGCCCAGGAGTCTGAGGTTGTTGTGAGCTATGATGCCATAGCACTTTACCCAGGAGGACAGCTTGAGGCTCTATCTCGAAAGAAACCGATTTTTTTTTTTTTTTTTTTTTTGGCCGGGGCTGGGTTTGAACCCACCACCTCGGGCATATGGGGCCAGTGCCCTACTCCTTTGAGCCACAGGTGCCATCCAGAAAAATTTTTTTCTTCTTTCTTTCTTTTTTTTTTAATCCCCCACATCTTCATACCTTAGGCCAGTTCCATGGCCCTTCACTTCTAGTTTTCTACTCCAACTGTTACCCATCATTTATGATTCAGTTCAAATGCCACTTTCTCAGCACAGCCTTTCCTGGAGTCTTCCCTGCTTTCTAATGTTACACAGTGGTCAGTGGACTTGTCCCCACTCTAACACTTCTCACCATATTCTAACAATTACTTTCCATTTCTGCCTTCACACTCCATCTCCAGGACTGGACTATGGGAATTGCATCTTTTTCCCTAGGTCCATCACGTTCATTCAATGGTGTTGATGGAGCACCTGGTACTGTTTAAAGTATTTGGGATACATCTGTGAACCAAACATAAAATGAACCCTTCTCTCGTGGAGGTGACATCACCAAGCCTATTGATGAAAGGACAAATGAGAGGATACAGAAATTCAAAATGGCATGAGTGGATTTCATCTAGAAAGATTCCACCCGAGGGGGAAACTGTTGACAGGCCGGGGAAAATAAGACGCCCCACTGAGAAAGTGTTCCCTCCTTCCTTTTGACTGGGTGCCCACGGCCTTTGACTACAATTCAAAGAGCCACCATGTTTGATCCCCTCCCCCTGGATTCCCCCGTGGTTCAACGTCTCCCAGTGTCTTCATACCTCAACTTGGGGCGGGGAGCCAGGTAAGGATTAATTAGTTTTGCAATCCGAGAAGCAAACTTCCAAGTCACCTCCGCCCAGTCGCAAGCCCCTCCCGCCCTCTGGGGGAATCAAGATGGCACCCGGAGAGCCGTGGGCGCGGCCCCCAGAACTCACCTACTTCAAGTCCCCAGCGCGCGCCACCAGTAACGGCTGCGACCCGGGTGGCGCGAGAGTGCCAGAGGGAGCCGATTCTCTGATTGGTTCCTGCCGCTGTCTTTCACAGCACTGCCGCAGGTTGATTGACAAAGCCCGCAGAGCAAGGCACACATGAAGCCCCGCCCCCTCCCTTACAGTTCAAAAGGGAACCTTCCCCAGGCTGGGGGTTCAGTTAAGAGGGACAGTAATTGGTGGCCGCCGTGCGCGGACAGAACAGTGAACCTCGATTGGGCAGTGGCAAGGGACAACCCACTGCCGCTTCCCCGCCCACCACCCACTTCCCGCGCAGATTTCCAAACCGCTACCAGAGAATCCGGCGTCGTCTGCTGGCAGCAGATAGAGGGGCTCTACCATAGACGACGTCAGATGGGTCTAGAGAGGCTAGAGCGCCCTTACTCGGTCCTCCCAGACATGGTGTCCGCTGACTCAGGAGAAATGAAATTGGGTTGCGGGTTGCAGTCGTGGCTGGAGGCTGCGGCTTGGAGAACAGCCCATAGGCGTGGCGCCTGAGGACTTCTATTGCAATGGAATTTCATTTCCTTTTGATTTGGCTTTTTTAGTAGAAATCATGTCATTTCTTCTCGGGAATACATCTCTGTCGGACATTTTGAGGTCATTTTTCAAAATGCAAGATCTTACAGCAGAGAAATGCATGAGGAACAGAGGAAATTGTTTTGCTATCTTAAAGGCTGTTCTTACCTTCCAGAGGCGAAGGAAGGATAAAATTCATTTCATTGTAAGACCTGAAGAGAATAATAACGATATATTTTGCACATGTTATCTCAGTGGTGTCTTCAACAATCAAATAGTAGTAGAATTTACAAACAAGGGATTTGAAGCTCTAAGAAGTTAAATGAGTTGCCTAGGATCCTACAGCTAATGTAAGATGGAGACAAAATTGAAACAAATCCTATGATTCTAAATTCTGAGCTCTTTCCACTACCACAAAATAACTGCTGTCATTGTGATCATGCCCTAAAGCATACAACATCCTAAGTGGGTAGAGGTGTTCTACACAACTTGATGTTCCTTTATTTAGAAAATGACTTAGGGCTCGGCGTCTGTGGCTCAAGTGGCTAAGGCGCCAGCCATGTACACCCAAGGTGGCGGGTTCGAATCCAGCCCGGGCCTGCCAAACAACAATGACGGCTGCAACCAAAAAATAGCCAGGTGTTGTGGCGGGCGCCT